TGACATCAAGAGGACTTGCTGTGAAAAAGGTTCCTACCGAGCTCACAGCTAATTATGAACCTTTGGTCATGAATGTGTGGAGTCTGCCCAAAACATCAGAATAATATGTGCCAAGTACAAACATTTGCCTACCTCAGCTTAATTATACATTTTTCAGGAGCAAGAATTTAGAGGTTTGTTTATTCAGCCAAATTTGGTGAAGGTCTGTGACGTGCCAGATACAGATCTCAGGGTTGGGGATGCAGCACTGGACAAAGCCCCTGATTGAATGAAGCTTTCATTTAACTGAAGGAGACAGACTATAACATATGAGGGGCTTCTAAAAGTTTGTGAAAAATTCAATTATCTTTTCATTCCATTTTTCCATGAACTTTTGAAGTTCCCTTATATAGACCTGTACTATGTCAGGAGTGATGCTGTTGTTGTTAAGTTCTAGTGAGCTGGTTCTGACTTATAGTGACCCTATATAGGGTTCCCCAGGAGTGGCTAGTGGGTTTGAACTGCTGACCTTGTGGTTAGCTGTCCACTGCTACACAAGTGCTATGAAAAGCAGTAACAAGATGACGATGGGGGTGGTGGTGGAAGGATGCATTTAATAATTAGTGGGGGAAGTCTCTCAGATGAGGTGACATCTGGGTGTTGATTGAATGAGATGAGAAGGAACCATGTAGATAAATAATTGGAGGAGAGCATATTATACTGCGTTCTATACCACACAGCAGCTGGTTCTGTAAGTTGAACATAAAACAAAATAAAAAACAAACCGGTTGCTATGGAGTCAATTCCAACTCAGTGCAACTCCATGTGTGTCAGAGTAGAACTATGAGTTATAGGACTTTCAGTGACTGAGGAGCTCTGGGTGGACTTGAATCTCTAAGTCTTAGCAAGCAGTCAAGTCCAAGCTGAACATAACAGGCTTATAAATACCAATTTAGTGGTCCTTTCCGTTTGTTTTCTTACCTTGATTGAATGGATCACACCAATTAAGACATGGTGAGTTTATTGTATTATCTAGTCCTGTAGTTCTCAACTGGGAGAAATTTTGTCTGCAGGGACATTGGCAATATCTGGTGGAGACACTGTGGTGGTCATAACTGGGTAGGAGTACTACCGGTATCTCATGAGTAGAGGCCAAGGACACTGCTACACATTCTACAATGCACAGGACCAGCCCACACAGCCAAGAATTAACGGCCCCAAAATGTTAGTAAAGTCAGTGTTGAAGAACTCCGATGTAGTCCCAAGGCAGGCCATCAGGTCTCTAAGAAGGAGTTCTTGCAAACAAACTCAACACAATATCTGATGTCTGCAAACAAAGTGGACTGGAGTTACTTTGGAGCAGCTGTTCCAAACTTAGTGGTTAGTTTCAAGATCACACAGAGAAGTATTCATTAAATAATAAATAAAAGTTTACTCAATGCCTCTGTATATGAGAGAGAGATAGTAATAAAATAACATAAGGGAAGGGAGCAATGGCTCTTGTGGGAGTGACTCAAATAGGTTTAATAAATGAGGGATCATTTGAACAAGACTTTGGCAGGTACTTAACAGGCAAGAAAGAAGCAGAGTTATGGTAGGTAGAAGGAAAGATGTGAAAACAAGTAAAGAGGTAACAGGATCTATTGTCTATTAAAGACTTTCTATAAGGTATGTGTCCACAACTCATCTTGTGAGTTTCTGTGATTCTGGAAACTACGCCATGGGTATTTTAAATAACAGTAGGGTCACCCATGGTGGACAGGTTTCAGATGAGCTTTCAGACAAAGACAGACTAGGAAGAAGGAGTGACAAATTACATCTGAATATTTAGTCACTGAAAACCTTATGAATAGCAGAGAAACACTGTCAGATGTAGTGCTGGAAAATGTGACCCTTATGTTGGAAGGCACTCAAAATGCGACTGGGAAAGAGCTGCCTCCTCAAAGTAGAGTTGACCATGATGACACGAATGGAGTAAAGCCTATGGTAGTAAAGCCCACAGGACCTTCATTTGCTGATGGGGCACATCTCAACACAAAGAGAAACAGCTGCAAACATTCATTAATAATTGGAACATGGAATGTACAAAGTATGAATTTAGGAAAATTTCAAATAGTCAAAATTAAATGGAATGCATAAACATCAATATATTAGGCATTAGTGAGCTGAGATGGACTGGTTTTGGACATTCTGAATCTGACAACCACATGGTTTACCATGCTGGGAATGACAAATTGAAGAGGAATGGTGTTGCATTCATTGTCAAAAAGAACATATCCAGATCAGTTATGAGGCACAACACTGTCTGTGATAGGATAATATCCATGCACCTACAGGGAAGGCCAGTTGATACTACTATTATTCAAATTTATTCACCAACCACTAAAGCCAGTGAAGAATAATAGAAGAATTCTACCAGTTTCTTCAATCTGAAATTGATTAAGCATGCAATCAAGATGTATTGATCATTACTGGTGACTGGAATGCAAAGGTTAGAAACAAAGAGGCAGGATCAGTGGTTGGAAAATAACGGCCTTGGAGATAAAAATGATGCTGGATATTGCATGGTAGAATTCTGCAAAATCAATTATTTGTTCATTCCAAATACCTTCTTTAGACAGCATAAGAGATGACTATTCACATGGACCTCACCAGATGGAATACACAGAAATCAAATTGACTACATTTGTGAAAAGAGACAATGGGAAAGCTCTATATCATCAATCAAAACAAGGCCAGAGGCAGATTATGGAAGAGACCATCAATTGCTCATTTTCAAATTCAAACTGAAGCTGAAGAAAATGAAAACAAGTCCACAAGAGATAAAATATAACCTTGAATATATCCCACCTGAATTTAGAGATCATCTGAAGAACAGATTTGATACATTAAACACTAAAGACCAAAGACCTGAAGAGTTGCGGATCACATAAAAAACATCATACATGAAGAAGGCAAAAAGTCATTAAGAAGAAAAGAAAGGTAGAAAAGATCAAAATGGATGTCAGAAATGATAGTGAAACTTGCTCTCAATCATAGAGATGCTAAAGCAAATGGAAGAAATGAGGAGGTACAAGAGCTGAACAGAAAATTTCAAAGGTTAGCTCCAGAAGACAAAGTCAAATATTACAACAAAATGTGCAAAGATCTGGAGTCAGAAAACTAAAAGGAAAGAACACGCTCAGCATTTCTCAAGCTGGGTGAACTGAAGAAAAAATTCAAGTCTCGACTTTAATTGTTGAAGGATTCTCTGGGCAAATTATTGAAGATGCAGAAAGCGTCAAAAGAAGATGGAAGGAATACGCAGAGTCACTGTACCAAAAGGAAATGATTGATTTCCTTTTCAAGAGCTAGCATAAAATCAAGAGCCAATGATACTGAAGGAAGAAGTCCAAGGTACACTGAAGGAAATGGCAAAGAACAAGGCACCAGGAATTGATGGGATCAAAATTGAAATCTTTCAAGAAAGTGAGGCATCACAGGAGGCACTCACTCATCTATGCCAAGAAATTTGGAAGACAATTATCTGGCCAACTGATTGGAAGAGATTCATATTTGTGCCCATTCCAAAGAGAGGTGACCCAATGGAATGCAGGAGTCATTGGATAATATCTTTGATATCCCATGTGAGTAAAGTTTTACAAAAGTAATACAGAAATGGCTGCAAGCATACATTGACAGAGAACTTCCAGAGGTTCAAGTCAGATTCAGAAGAAGATGTGGAATGAGGGATAGCATTGTTGATGTCCGAGGGATCTTGGCTGAAAGCAGAGAATACCAGAAAGATGTTTATTGAGTATGCAAAGGCTTTCGATTGTGTGGATCATGACAAGCTATGGACAACATTGTGAAGTATGAGTATTCCTGAACACTTAAATATGCTCATCAGGAATCTGTACATGAACCAAGAGGCAGTTGTTCCTGAATGGTTTAAAATTAAGAAAGGTGTGCGACAGGGGTGCATTCTTTCACCATAGTTATTCAACCTCTATGCTGAGCAAATAATCTAAGAAGCTGGGTTCTATTAAGAAAAACGTGGCATCAGGATTGGAGGAAGACTCATTAACAACCTGTGATATGCAGATGATACAACCTTAATTGCTGAAAGTGAAGAGGACTTAACACATTTACTGATGAAGATGAAAGAGCACAGCCTTTGGTATGGTTTGCATCTCAATGTAAAGAAACCAAAAATCCTCACCAGTGGACCAATAAACAACATTCTTATCAATGGAGAAAAGATTGAAGTTGTCAAGGACTTCATTCTTTTTGGATCAACTATCAACATTCATGGAAGCAGCAGTCAAGAAATCGGACGACGTATTTGCAGTAGGCAAATCTGCTGCACAGGACTGTTTTAAAGTGTTGAAGAGCAAAGATGTCAGCTTGAGGACTAAGGTGCGCCTGACCCCAGCCACGCTATTTTTAATAACCTCATATGCATGCGGAAACTGGACATTGAATAAGGAAGACTGTAGAAGAATTGATGCTTTTGAGTTATGGTGTTGGAGGAGAATATTGAAAGTGCACTGTGCTGCCAAAAGAACCAACAGATCTGTGTTGGAAGCAGTGCAGTCTGAGTGCTCCTTGGAGGCCAGGATGACCAAACTTCATCTCTCAAACTTTGGACATATTGTCAGGAGGGATCAGTTGCTGGAGAAGGATATCATGTTTGGTAAGGTGGAGGGTCGGAGAAAAAGAGGAAGACCCCCAATCAGATGGATTGGCAAAGTGGCAGCATCAATGGGCTCAAGCATGGCGACAATTCATTGTGATGTTGACCCAGGACTGGGCAGTGTTTCGTTCTGTTGTACATAGCATCGCTATGAGTTAGTACCGAATCAATGGCAACTAAACAACAACAACATTCGGTATGTGAGATGCTAATCATTTTATCATGAAAGACATGCTAATCTAAATAAAAAATGGATCCATACAAATGAGTCAAAGCCTAGTATAACCCCAAGAGACTTTCTCATGTTCTTCATTTCAACAAGATATTGAAACACAGGGAGTATTACCTGGGGAGAGTTGCACAAATACCGAAGCAGTTCACCGATATACTGAATGACAGTGACATTGTATTTTCTGCAGTCATCCCAAAACTGGCTGGCTGAAAATTTGGTCCGTAAAGCAAGAGTAGCACCTACAAACAGAGAAGTCATATAAAGTATCTAATAGAGTCATACTATTAAAGTCCCCCTAACTATACTTGTAGCACTGTGGGTTAATGCGCTGGACTGCAAAGTCAATTTGAACTGCCAGGCCAGTGGTTCAAGCTCACCAGCAGCTCCTCAGAAACCCTATACAGATTGGCTATAGATCAGAACCTATTCAACGACACATAACAACAACAACAACACTATACTTGTATTGGTGCATTTTAATTGTGGTATTGGCAAAGAATATTGAAATACCATGGACTGACAGAAGAGCAAACAGGACTTCGTCTCTTATACTTTGGACATGTTATCAGGAGGGACCATTCCCTGGAGAAGGACATCATGTTTGGTAAAGAGGTCAGTGAAAAAGGGGAAGATCCTCAATTCGATGGATTGACACAGTGGCTGCAACAATGAGTTCAAACGTAACAGTAACTATGAGGATGGTGTAGGCCCAGGAAGTGTTTTGTTCTGTTGTGCATAGGGTCACTATGAGTTGGAGCCAACTCTATGGTACCGAACAACAATATACTTGTATTTGTTTTTCATCTTTGAAATGTAAGAGTGAAAAAAATGGATTATATTCACAAACAAGTAGTTTATATGCAGTCCCAAACATGATACGGCGTGGTTTTACATACCCACTGCCATCAAGTGGATTCCACCTTACTGCATGCTGCCTTGAAGTGAATGGGTTTTGAATGTAATCGTCCTTCCAGCAGATTAGAAGCTCCTGTGTAGGAGAAAAGGAGCCCAAGAGGCACTGTGGATAAGACACTGAGAAGCTAACTGCAAGGTCAGCAGTTCAAACCCACCAGCTGCTCCACAGGAGGAAAATGAGGCTGTCTGTTTTCATTAAAAGTTGGTCTCAGAAACCCTAAGAAGCAGTTCTACCCTGTCCTATAGTCCCTCCCTGTTCCAATCTAATGGAAGGAAGATTACATTCAAAACCCATTCAACTCAAGGCAGCATGCAGTAAGAGGATCTGAAGAGGCTCTAGGAGTGGTGAGTGTGTGTGTGTGTAGATTAATTGTTTAGGGGGCAAGAGCTGAGAAAGACATCCTGGAAGGGGTAGTATTTGAGCGAGGTCTTGAAAAATGACTATAGAGATGTATAGGAAAACAATCAAATTTTGTATTACTTTGCCTTATTAGCAAATATGAATGTATGACCGTGTACCAGCCTCCAATTCTTGTTGAAAGAAAAAGTTTACCTTTCAGGATACATCCATGAACTCCAATCATAAGCGCAGCACTGTGGTACAGGGGCAGAGTGGTATAAATTACATCATCTTCTGTAACCCCGCTTGCTGTAGCAAGACCAGTTCCATACCAGAGGCGGTGGTGATTGATCACTGCTGCTTTCGGGAGACCTTGGCAAAGACACAAGAGAAGTCATGAAGGAGCCAAGATTGGCCATTCACAGCCATGCGATCTAGAACAGAGATCTGGTTTATGAAGATTTATCATTCTGTGTTTAGACAATTGAGCAGTGGAATTTCATGATAAAATGAACAAACCAACAAACAAATCAGGAGTCAGATTTTTTTTTTTTTTTCTGTTAAAGACCAGATAGTAAATGCTATAGGCTTTACGATCACTCAACAGTTGTAGCATGAAACCAACCACAGAGGTCCTTAAATAAATGAGCATTATTATGTGTCAATAAAACTTTATTTACAAAAACAGGTAGGGGGCTATATTTGGCCCACAGCCCATAGTTTACTAACTCTCAAGGTCCATGTTATTACAGTGATAATCTGAAGAGAAAGGAAGTGAATGGCTATGGAATTTCTGCTTTGAACTTTAGGACTCTGAAAGTCCTCAAACATTTCATTTAATCTTCATAACAACTTTATGAAGGCAGTAGAATTATATTCTCCAACCCATAGATGAGATTAAATAATTTGGTATGATCATTCACACAGTTGTAAGCAGCTGTGCTTTTTTTCTTTCCCACCAAGCTCCAAGTGTTTTGAAGGATTACGATGGCATTATAGCAGTGGGAATAAGAAGACAAGGACAGATTCAAGGGACATATTGAAGAGAGTAAAAATTTGGATTTGGTGACTGACTTGATGGAAGGGATAAATGAAGAAGATTTAAGAGCCAAAAAATGACCCCAAACCTTGAAGCGCTAATCTCTGGGAAAGTTATTACAGATATGGGGAGCTTTGGAGGGATCTGAGGCATTAGAGGTTAGGCCATGAGATCAGTTTTGTTCACATTGAATTTCACGGAATACGCAGAAATGCCAGTGTCTTGTGGAAAATGGAAGGAAGACTGTTTTAAGTGGAACTGGGGTCAAGTTGGGGAGAGGAGACAGAGGTTTGGGTATGGGATAAGGGCCAGGAATATACGATCTTGGCAATCAGACCGAGGAGTTTGGTTTTAGCGTAAGAGGTGTCAGAAGGTGAATAAAGACTCTCCAAGGCAGACTAAATGGCCAATGAGTTTAAATTCAGTTAAAATATTGAAATTTATTGGAAAAAAAGAAGGCTACCTCTAATTGTTTGGAATGATAGAATGGAGAGCAAAATGTATGCATATATTTAAAGATAAGACAGGAAACTGCAAAAGCTTTTGTTCTTGGGATGGGCTGTCTTGAGCCAAGTCCCCTAATTCTTAGGGGCAATGGTCAGCCTTTGTGCTCTACTTTGATAGAAAAGTTTGAGAAACAACATTTTAACAAACAACTTTTTACTGGGTAATGTGTGTATATAAAGGAACCCTTGTAAGGTAATGGATTAAGAGCTGGACTGCTAACAGAAAGGTCAGCAGTATGAATCTACCAGTTGCTCTTCTGGTGGAAGATGAGGCTTTCTGCTCCTGTAATATTTACAGCATTGGAAACACTATGAGTCAGACCCAATTTGGTGGCACACAACCACCACCATGTGCGTATAGCTAAAAAATGTGAATATATAAATGTTACACATAGTAGTCTCACTTTCCCCGCTCCCACCCATCCAATTATTTTCTTTAAGGACTCCTTTTATTCATTTCCTATTTATTCTCTGGAGTCCTGGTCTGGGCTGTTGGATAAACACTGGACTGCTAACTGCATGGTCAGCGGTTCACAAACTATATAGGGTCTCTGTGAGTCAGAACTGACTTGATGGTACTTAACAGCAGTATGTATTCTCCTAGAGTTTCTTTATAAAAATATATGAAAATACAAGCATATATGATCTTGTCCTTCCCCCTTTAAAAAAAATGTGTACACCATTCTGTACTTTGTCTCCTGTCCCCTCTGCCACCTGAAGACTTAACAATGTATATTGGAGATCCCTTTATATTTGTACATAGACATTTCCCTCAGTTTTTCATTTATTTATTCTCTCATGCAGCTGTGTAAAGTCCTTTGTAGGAATGAGTATGCATTCATTTAGTTACACTATTTTGCCATTTCAAATGATGCTGCAGTGAAAAACCTTGTCTATATGACATTTCACACCTAAGAATGATGTTACGTCTATAGGCTACATTTGCTGAAGTGACATTGCTGGGTCAAAAGTTTTACCAGTGTAATCTTGATAGACTGCCACATTGGATGTCCTGTTCATTCATATGAGTGTGTTTCCTCATAGCCTTGCTAAGGTATAATCTCAAATTGTAGGATTTTTGCCAATCTGAGGGGTGAATAATGGTATCATGGTGTATTTTTTTTAGTATGCCCTTCTCTTACTGTGAGTGAAGTTTGATCCATTTACCTTTTCTTAGTTATAATTCACATAATTGTTTTGAAAGACAACCTATTTAAAGTAAGAGTTATATACCACATCCAGGGGAGGGCATGGAGTCACTGCAAAGTTCCCGAGGTTAGACTTTCAGACAGGAATGGATAAACTGGCTTTGTGAAGAGGAAGATGGTTCGCTGTAAGCTTAGATCTTTTGATACGAGGCTGTACCTTAGTCAGGTATTAGCCAAAGCAGCCCTTAGTTATGAGGCAAAGTGGTGTGACCAGCAAACTATTCGCGTAAACACATTTAAAACTTTGTTTGCTTTCAACTGGGCCAGTTGCACTGTGCTAGTATTAATGCTTATTCTATACTAATATTAAGAAGTAGAAGAAAGTATTTACAAATCGACTTTACTCACCACAGAAAAGAATCATCTGAATGAATAGTGAGAGATCTGAATAACATTTTTGTTTTTTTTAAAGTGCACGTCTTTGTTGCTTTGAAGTACTTTCAGAATCTTTTCTAACTTTAGATGAGAACATTTGTTAATTATTATATAATTTTATGCTAATGATTACCGTTGTAGAATAGGGAAAACATTTTGTCCTTTCATTTCTTAAATGAGTTCTTTTCATTAATTTTACAAGACTAAATTGTTTTCCAACTCAACATAAACAAAGAATTATGGGATTAAATTAAAAAGGGTCAATTCTCATTTCTCTCCTTAAAATGAGTTTTATATTTGACTACCAACCATAGATTATGAAGAAATTCTATACTTGTTTATTCACTCTTAAGATTAGAACTTCCCACCACTAGCCAAGAACTCATTTTAATCTCAATTATTTCACAAATCAAAGTCTCCAATTTCAATTTTCTAAATATTCAGAAATGAAGGTAAAAGTCTAATATATTAAGGCAGCATCTGTATGCACTAGAAGCATTTTGATTTCTTATGTCATCCTGCCATTCTGTTGGCAGGGTGACAAACTATTTTTGACAAAAATAAGATAGATTATAGTTTGAGAATTAGTATTCTTCTTCTTCTCTCTCCGATCCACCCATCCCAGATTTAATTAAGGAAAATATTTAGCAAACGTAAGTATGTAAAAAAAAAAAAAAAAAAAGTAAGCATGTGAAATGAAGTCAACATTCAGATTAAACCCAGGACCAGAGACTGGGAGATTACATGGGTATTCTGGTGTGGCGCTGTAGGATAAACACTGGATGGATAACTAGTCTCTCCTTGGAAACGCTAGATATGGTCACTATGAGTCAGAACTGACTCAATGGCTCTTAACAACAACAACATTAATAAAAATATAATAATCAGTATGTTGGGGTTGGAATCCCTGGGTGGTACAAATGGTTAATGCACTTGGCTGTTAACTCAGTGATTAGAGGTTCAAATCTACCCAAAGGAACTTTGGAAGAAAGGCTTGGAGATCTACTTCTGAAAAATCGGTCATTGAAAACCATATACAGTTCTACTATGATGCACATGGGGTTGTCATGAGTTGGGGGTCTGCTTCCTGTCCTCCTCAGGCTGCAATTATTGCATTCTGGTAACGTTTTCCCTAGCCTAGAGTAGGCAGACAATAAATATCTGTTAAATGAATGCACTAAAAGGTATCATGGCAAAGTGGCCAGTACCAAGAGCTATGGAGTTAGCCTACCAAGATGGATTTGACAGTACTTAGCAACAGCAACGTATTTTAGGAAGGTCCTTCACCTCCCTGATTTTATAAAATGAGAATAAAAAAATTACCCATCTCAAACAGTGATGAAAGAATTGTCCTAACAAATGCAATAAACGTCCTAGCATGTTGTCGTTCACATTGCCCAAAATATGGTCTATTTCAGGTGGTACCATGTTGGGTACTTCCAGAGTGATATACCGTATTTCACCAATTCTAAGATATATACTTTTTCACATTTTATATTTCTGAAATGTGGATGTGTCTTAAAATGGATAAGTTGATATTTAATTAACAGTGTTTTTTTCTTTCCTATTGTTGTTGTTGCTAGGTGCCATCCAATCAGCTCCAACTCATAGCACCCGGGTATAGGACTTCTGAGGTGGGTTTGAACCATTAACCTTGTTGTTAGCATTCCAGTGCTTACCCTACAGAACCAAAATGATGGTGCAGCTTACAGTTAAAGGCATCGTAGATTTGATGAAATATCGTATTTCAGGTCTGGCACTAGAACCATCCTACATCCCACAACCATCCTACATCCACAACAGGCAGCACCCCTCCCCACAAGTCAGTGTGTGTAGGAAGAAAGACAGTGGCAAAGGTTTTATATAAATATAAACCCAATATTGTTCTGTAGTCTCTTGGGTGTAATTTATACTTGATTATACCTATAAGGAGCTCTGGTAGCGTAGTGGTTACGAATTGAGCTGCTAATCTCATGGTCAGCAGTTCGAAACTACCAGCTGTTCCACGGGAGAAAGAGGAGGCTTTCTGCTCCCGTAAAGATTTACAGCCTCAGAAACCCTGTACAGGGTCACTATGAGTCGGAACTGACTCCACGGCACACAACAACAACAACAAATACATAATATATGGAGTCCTGGTGTGACGCTGTGAGTTAATTCGTCAGACTGCAAAACCATTTGAACTGCAAGGTTGGTGGTTCAAGCTCACCAGCTGCTCCTTGGAAACCCTATACAGGGTTGCTATGGGTGAGAACCGACCTGACGGCACTTAACAACAACAACAACAACAACAACAACATATAGTATATAGATCCTGGCTATAATCAAACTACAACAATTGTTTGTTTTTAATTCTAAAAGAAGATTCTAAATTCTTAGCATTCTAAAGAATTCTAACAAAAATTGCAACAAGAATTCTAGAATTGTAACAAAAATTCTAACAATTCAGTGTCAAATTTCATCTATTACCTTGGTTATATTTTTGAGTTCTTTTTAAATTTCTTGGTCTGTTCTATGCCAATGGGGGAAAGACATGCATAGTTTGGAGAAACCCAAATGGGATCATATGCTATGAAATAAGATCAGTTCCCACAGGCAAAGAACTAAATCCCCCAAAGTATTAGTTATCTGATTGTTTTACCAAAGAGAGAGAACACTTGAAAATCTAACCCAACATTTAACTCCTTCTGAACTGGTTCCTTTAATTGAGATCCTCTCTGTATTTTTACCTGTGGTTCCTGAGGTATAAATGTATAGGGCAGGAGTGGAAAACGTGACTTCAGACCTCCAAGACTCTGGGATAGGTTCAGTTGACACTTCATCCACCTTGTCCAGGAAAGAGTCAATCCCATCCGTGTTAGAAGTTCTGCTCACATAATAGATGGACACGCCATCTTTTTTCAGACTCGGCAGCACCTCTTCGACAGCTGCTTGTAGCTCTTAATTTAATAAGAACAAAAATATACAAACTGAATTAGTCCTTTAGGGTTCCAATAGTTCAACAAGCTTTATTGTCATTTTTGCTTTCAATATAGTTTTTGCTAAAATGTGTGGACATGAAAAATGATGCTTATAATTAGACAATTTTTTTTGAAAACATTTGAAAAATACCACAAGATTCTAATATTTGAGAGAAGGTTGGGTTTTGATGGTTTCATGAGTACAATAGACGATTGGTTGAAATCTGTACTTTTGCGGGGGGAAGTGCCACCAAATGGACAGATAGATGGATACAAAACAGGAAATCTAAGTACCTAATTTATATATATGGCTGGCATACACCTCAAAGATACTACAGAATGTAGCTGTTCCTCATATGTGTACTACAGGACCAGTGATGAAAAAAATACACTTTTAAGGAAGAAGTAAAGAAATGGAAAATGAAGGAAGACATGCTAATTAACAAAGATGATAAAAGACAACTTTATATAATAATGTTTTTTTACACATCAGTAGTAAATGGTTGCACTAAGACATTTCAGTTGATCTCAGAAATAAACTCTAAACATAATAAGCACATGCTATGGTCTGAAGGTAAAAAGAAAAAAAGACTGACTAATCTAGGGGAGTGTTTTCAAACTGTGGGTCACGATACATTGTTGCTGTTGTTGTTAAGTGCCATGAAATCGATTCTGACTCATAGTGACCCTGTATATGGTTTCTGAGGAGTGGCTGGTGAGTTTTAACCACTTACCTTGCGGTTCAAACGGACCTTATGATCAAATGCTTATCCTACAGTGCCACACCAGAACTCCATTAACTACCCACATTAGTAGGTTGTTGAAGTTATTTGGAGTCCTGGTGTAGCATGTGGGTTAATGCCTTGGACTGCAAAGTCCATTTGATCTGCAAGGTCAGTAGTTCAATCTCACTAGCCACTCCTCAGAAACCCTATACAAGGTTGCTATGGGTCAGAACTGACTCGATGGCACTTAATGACAGCAGCAAAGTCATTTAAGGAGTCTTGGTGTGATGCTGTAGGAGAAGCACTGGACTGTTTGTTGTTAACTGCAAGGTCGGCAGTTCAAACTCACCAGCTGCTCCTTGAAAATCCTATACAGGGTCACTATGAGTTGGAACCAACTCAATGGCACTTAACAACAACAACAAAGTAATTTAAAATTGACAGTATTTGGAGTCAGATACACTATCATTGCCCTATGAGAAGTAAGAGAGGCAACATGAATATGCACATATATGCACACCTGTTCAAACAGCACTATTCACAACAGCAAAAAGATGGAAACAACCTACATGCCATCAACAGATGAATGGATAAGCAAACTATGTACATGCACACAATGGAATACTATGCAATGTTGAAGAATAACAATGAATCTGTAAACTACCTCATAACATCAATGAACCTGGAGGACATTAAGCTGAGTGAAAGTAGTCAATCACAAAGGGACAAATATATCAGACCACTACTATTAAAAGTCAAGAAAAGATTTATTTACAGAAAGAAATATTCTTTGGGGAAGGAGAGCAGAGATAACCGCTCTCTAGAGGGTTGGTACATGTTAACTTGGGTGAAGGAACAAGCAATATACAATAGAGGTGGTCAGAACAAAATGATTAAGGGAGTGGAAGAAACTGGAGGAATAACAGAGTTAAAGGCAAAGAAAGAAAGAAAGAAAAAAAGGCGTTAAACACTACTACCTACACAATCCTGTATTAGCAGTAATAACAACAATCTATGCATGGATCCTGGCGTGGCACTATGAGATAATGTGTCAGACTGCAAAGTCGTTTGAACTACAAGGTCAGTGGTTCAAGCTCACCAGCTGCTCCTTAAAAACACTATACAGAGTTGTTATGGGTTAGAACTGACTCCATAGCACTTAACAACAACAACAATGCATGGATATACAGAAAGACAGGCAAAGCTAAACAGGATTGGGGAGATAAAATCAGACTGTATCCACCAGTAGATATAAATTTGATGTTGTTAAGTGCTGCCAAGTCAGTTCTGATTCATAATGAACCTGGATAGGGTTTCCAAGGAGCAGTTAGATGGTTTGAACCACTGACCTTTTGGTTAACAGTCCAGTGCTTATCCTACAGGATCATGAGAGGATATTAATCCACATATATTTATACATGTTACAATTATATCCATGAATATGTTGTTATTGTTGTTAAGTGCCGTCGAGTCGGTTCCGACCCATAGCGACCCTGTATAGGGTTTCCAAGGAGCAGCTGGTGAGTTTGAATCGCCGACCTTGCAGTTCAAATGGCTTTGCAGTCTGGCGCATGAACTCACAGCGCCACACCAGGACTCCATGAATATAGTAGAGCACAAAAGGGTCAAAGTTAAGAAAACATCTTAGCTGTAACCAAATAACTTGAGGGAATGAGTTGCTGGGTCTGGAAGCTCAGGATTATAGTCTCGGGGGATATAAAGTTCAATTGGCATACCATAGTTCACAGAGATAATGTTCCAGATCTTACTTTGGGGAGTAGTAACTGAGGTCTTAAGAGCTTGTGAGTGGCCCACTAAGGTGCAACTATTGGTGTCTCCCCACCCTGAGCAAAGAAGAGTGAAGAAAATCAAAGATGCATGAAAACAATTAGTCCAAAGGGCTAATGTGAACCCCAACCTTCACTACCCTGAGGCCAGAAGAACTAGATGGTGCCTACTGCTGATTGATCTGAAAGGGACCATCTGAAAGCACTGAATAGAGTGGGAGAAAAGTGTGGAACAATATTCAGAATAATGAAAAAAATATCAGATTTACTAGTCTGGTAGAGACTATGGACCTTAGTTCCTCTTTAGCCATTTAAGTCACCCATGTGGCTCAACTTTCAGCCAAACAATAGTCAGACCTGTACAGTGAACAACAATGCCAAGGAGCATGTACTCCTTAGAACAACCAGTTATATGCGAGCAAAGGGTGGCATCTGCCCAGGGACAAAGCTCAGAAGGCAGGAAGGGGTAAGAGAGAAGGACAAATGGAAATGATAAACACAGGGAGGAAATGAAAAGACCGCGGTTACATTGTGGGGGCTGTAATCAATGTGTGTCTGAAATGTTGAACAGAAAATCAATTTGCTATATAAAATTTCACCCAAATCACAATACAGACACATCATTTTATAAAAGTTCTATTTTGGTGATGTGGACACTGGATTACACCCAAATGCATTTCTCACTGTGGGCCAAACGTCAAAATAATTTAAAGGTACTGATTTAGATCATTTATTATGCAAACCAAATATAGGGTTTACATGAAATTTGTGTCTTTAAACTATAAAATGAGCATACCATCTTGTTGTTGCTAGAGCATGTGTTAGGTGTTTATTCCTAATCTGGTCAACCATGATTGAGTGTGGGACAGGTGAGAAGTGGTGGGCTTGGGTCAAGGGCACAATTACATAATAAATAGGGCTGACCCTAAGAAGCTGAGATAGACAAGTTCTCTAGAAGATATTATGGAAAGACCAAGCAATCCTTCATGTCTCTTATACATGGCTAACTTTCTCATATTCATTTTGGAGTGAATTCCTTTTCAATTGACCTTCAAAATGTTCTCTCAAAGATTTTTATTTGGGCTTTAATTATCCAGCCACATTTCTGCTAACACGAGTAAGAAAGAAGTCTCATATTTTTTGAGGACAGAAAATGGAAAAAAATTCTTTTTCCTTTTGTACAGTAGCTAAATCACTGAGAGGGGACTGCTTTTAAGCTTACTGGTGTTGAGCTGTTATAAGTGAAGTGAATATACTTATTCTTAGAAGCCCTGGTGTAGTGCTGTAGGAGAAGTACTAGGCTGCTAACTGTAAAAGGGGCGATTCAAACCCACCAGCCACTCATTGAAAACCCTATACAGGGTCACTGTGAGTCAGAACACAGTAGACAGCACTTAACAACAACATACTTTATTTATTCTTAATTGGAAGGCAACTCAATATCCCAGGGAGTTACCTTGGGGACACTGTATTTGATTCATCTTATGTGCTTTGTTTTTAGGTGTTTGTGTATGATGTCTATCAATTCAAGAAAGATCATCTGGATAGATGCATTTAAAAAAAAAAATAAACAAAGTGCTCAAGCACATGGCAAAATATAAATCAAAAGTACAAAAAGGCTTATAAGGAAAATCAACAGACCCTTACTCCATCCCTCCTCACAGTTAAGCTGCTATGTAGAGGCAGATGGTTTCAATTCTTCTAGCTGCATCTTTTAGCATTCACCTCCCTATTACCAAATAACGTGCTTTTCCTGTAGCGCTGTGGATGAAATATCTATTTCTTACCTATCAATTTCGAGCCCCACCTTCATTTTATCCCTGTCTACCTCCAACTCCACTTTACTTTCTGTCCTTTCTGGGCAAATGGGATTTATGTCTGTTCTGAGACTAAATTGTTTTCCTAGCTTTGTCTACAGGTTGGTTTTAGAAGCTGCAAACCAATAATTAGAATTGACACTATGCTGATTATACAAAGATTGTTCACTGCAGAACCAAGTAATGAACTCTACTCAGATCTTCCTTCTTGAACAGCTTCCTCCCACCCTCCCAGAATTCCTAGTTGGCGATCTTTCTTTAACATACTATTTGTCTCAATTACTTTCTCAATTCTTATATCAGGCTTTCCCACCACTGAAGGACCTCTGTTTTCCTCTTCCAGTTTTCTGTTCTGAACTGGTTTCTCTTCAGCCCTCCTGTACTTCTGGAAGGTTATCAGAAAAACACTACTGCTGTAGAAACTACAGTGGTAGCATCCAATTCTGTCACTGCCTTGCTGCAGGTCCTTATTACCTCTTATCTGAATTAGTAAAATACCCTTCAGACGTATTTTGTTGTCTTATACTGTATTAGTTTTACTACTGCCTCTGGTTACCACCCTGTTTAAAGTTCATTGATAGCTACTCATCCTTGGGAATAGAATTCATTCTTCTTAGGTGACATGCAGGGGCCTTCATAGTCTAATCTCT